CCTCTGCCTCCCTAGTGCTGAGATTAAAGGTGTGCACCACCACTGCCTGGCTCATTCTCATCTCTTTGTGGTTTGTTTTCCTGTCTGCCATGATGTTTGCAGGGATCCCTGATGTACAGGAATCACTCTGACCCACTGAGCCATCTTTCTACCACCACCCCCCAGTACACATTTATAAAAGAAGGGTTATGAGATGTCATAGCATTGCCAATTAAACATACCAGGTAAGTGTCAGCTGGAGGAGTTTTAGAGGAGAAAATACAAAGGAGCTCTGAGTCCTGCAGCCTGCTCCTGGTGGATATGCCAGGATCAAGGAAGCAGAGAAGTTCCTGATTGAGAAAGAGCCCATAGTTACTGTTTTGATTATTCTGTCTCCTGGCACTGCTGACATGAACACCTCTCTGCCTAGAAATAGTGGGAAGATGGTTCCCTTGGACTAGTGGGGCTGGCTGAGCTTAACGGACTAAGTAGGAACTACAGTGAAGAATTGGGACAAACCTGAGAAGAGGGTGCTGAGGACCATGGATTCCCTCATCATCTGGACAGATGGGATATGGATGGTGTGTGCGGTCTCAGATCTGCCACAGAGTCTCTAGTGACCTGGAAGGCAGTGTCCCAGGGGGACTGAGTCTCTACAGCAGTACTGAAATCCTCTGTCCCATCTTTGTGGTGTCTGTTGTAGCCACTGTGCCTAGCAGAGGCAACGGGTCTTCATGAAGCCACTTCTGCCATGTAATGTGCTCCAGATCTCTCACTCTTCCACAGCCCTGCTGGCTAATCAATGTCTTCCACAAACTCATTTCTGCTTAGAGTTTTCAGAATTAGTTTCTGTAGCTTACAGCCAAGATTCATATAAAGAGAGAAAGGGCAGGCTTATGGAGCCAGGGGTAACCATCCTCCAGATGGGGCAGTTGTTGATGAACCATAATTCCCAAGCCTCCTTGACCACCAAAGCCGGACTTGCCCCAAGCTATGAGACAATAAGGGGAGTATGAGCTGACTGAGCTGATGGAACCCACAACTCAGCTGTAGCGAAAACTACCGTGATCAACATGCCCAGACCACGTGGTCTGGTCCCTGCTCAATGCACTCCTCTTGAGTTTCTGTTGCCTGGGTTTCATTGCCTGTGCCTACTCTGTGAAGTCCGGGGACAGGAAGATGATAGGCAATGTGATTGAAGCCCAGACCTACATCTCCATTGCCAAAGACCTGAACATCAGCTGCCTGATCTTCAGCATTCTAACAGTCATTATCTGCACCATTGTTGTCTCCTCTGTGGCAGTCTTCCAAGCCTTTTCACAAAGAATGCCACATTCTGGAGTCTAGTACTGTCCTGTGCTCCACAGTCCATAGCCGCCTACCCCAGGCTTAAGCCTTAACCCTCTCTTTTCCCTACACATATGCAAATGTTACCTTCATACATCTGTCCACAGTTGATTCAATAAAGTGCAAATGGAGATAGACAGACAGGCAGACAGACAGACAGACAGACAGACAGACAGACAGACAGACAGACAGGACCAAGAATATGTGGTAGAAAACAGTGGGCAGGGCCTGGAGAGATGGCTCAGCAGTTAAGAGTACTTGACTGCTCTTCCAGATGTCCTGAGTTCAATTCCAGCGACCATGTGATGGCTCACAACCATCTATAGTGGAATCAGATTTCTTTTGTCATGCATGAAGACAGGTCACTCTTATACTAAAAAATCCTGAATAAATAAATCTTTAAAAAAAGAAATTGGTGGGCAATCTAAGGCTAGTAAGTAGCTAGAGGATAGTGAAAATCCAACTAGTATTAAAGGAAAGGACTCTAGCCTTGATAAGACAGTTAATCCTGTGGCCCCTTAGAACAAAGAACCCAACAAATGTTAAGCTTTGCAAGACCTAGTGGCTCCTGCCATAAAAGTGTACAAAGACCATACTGGAGTCAAGTCAGGGTGGTTGTGCTAATGGCTATATATAGTAAAGTGATGCCCACTGGAGGCTTCCACCTGTAGGTGCCCTAGGCTAGTAAAGCTCAGGTTATCTATGCATGGTCTCCAGGAGACAAGGAACACTACTGAAGCACACTCCAAGACAGTCTCTTCAGGTGCAAAGCAAAAATATTAGTAAGTGGGTCGGGAACATAGGTCAGTGGTTATATATAGCACTTGCCTATTATGAGTGAGAACCTGGGTTTGAGCTCCAGTACTGAAAAAAAATTAATACATTTACACAAATCTTCATATTTACTCTTTAAGGTTTTTTCCCTTTGGTTTGTTTGTGTTTGTTGTTGTTTGTTTTAGAGAAAGGGTTTCTTTGTGTACTTGTGGCTGTCCTGGAAATCATTCTGTAGATCAGTCTGGCCTCAAACTCAGCAATCCTCCTGCCTCTGCCTCCTCAGTGCTGGGATTAAAGGCATGCACCACTATGGTCCAGAGCCAGACTATAACTTAAGGGGTTGTCTGTTTGCTTCTGGGGAAAACAAGTCTTTCTCCTGAGCAGCTTGGATGGTTTGTTCTACATTCTTTTTCTGCCCTTGGGCATGAACCTGTTACTCTGAGTTTGGGCCACACCTAGCTGTTGTTATTTTCCTCTTTTCCCTGGAGAAGCAAAACACAGCATCCTTTACTATGCAGTTCAGCCTGGCCCAGGAGGCAAAACCTTCTTGCCTTAGATTCCCAGACACTGAGATTACAGATATATAACACTAAACCTAGGTTACAAGCAGAACTTTTTGAAAGAACCAGATCCAGTTCCTATTGCTTATCAGTTCCCCAGTGCAAAAAGGAAGTACTGTGGCTATTTATATTTATATAATGTATGTGTGCACATGGCAGGCACAGGGCAATGTGCAGGAACCAGTTCTCTCCTTCCACCATGCTAATCCCAGGTGCTGAACTCTGGTCACCAGACATGAAAGCAAGTGTCTTCATCTGCTGAGTTATCTTGCTTCCCTGGCTTATTTTATTTATTCATTTATTTTTAAGGCAGAGTTTTACATCATAACCCTTGTTGTTCTTTAATTCACTATATAGTCCAGATAACTGAATTCCTCCAGCCTTAGCCTTCTGAGTGCTGAAATTACAGGAATGAGATGCCACACCTGGCAGCATATGAAATTTTATATTCTGGGGAAACAGACACTCTGGTCTAGAAGAGCTTGACACATCATGGAAAAATAAAAGTCCCCAGATGAAATTCCATGGTAAGCCAAGCCCTGTAAAATTTCCAGAATTTACTATGAAAATCCACTATGAAGCACAAAATCTTTCTGACTTATTAGCAAATATATGCTTATTGAAAACCTGTATTTTTCCCTAGGCTTGGTGGTTATACAGGATGAGACCCTAGCAGTGTCTACGCCTTCCCTGGGCATCTGCGACCTCTCGAAACCCAGTCTACTGAGCACAGGGCTTGGAGTGGGAGGTTCTGGGGTCTGAGGTTCCCCTTCCTCTAGTCCCTGTGGGCACGCTACGGTTTCCAATACGCCTGCCCACGGAGGACCCACCCTGCAACACGCAACTTCCCACGGAGCTAGGAGCAGTGGGAGGGACTGAATTACCAGGAGGTGGGCGGCCCTATCTCACACGGGGGAGGTGGGGCAAGGCTGTGGGCGGGGCCTCGTGCCCAGGAGGTGCGAGCGTCCTGGGGGGCGTCCTCCCTGTCCGGCTGTAGTGTTGGTACATGAATCCTGAACAGCTTAAGTTGCTTCACATCTTTGTCGCTCCAATAGGACTCTAACTACAGGCCTGGGGCCCAACGCAAGAAGGTAGAGCCCTTCTGCCTCCACGTAGGCAACGGAATCACTGGGCAATGCTTCAGGCCTGGTTCTGCCAGACATGGCAGCAAAAGGAACGTTTATAGACTGGGGGAAACAGATGACCTGGCCTAGAAGAGCTTGCCACATGAAGGAAAAATAAAATCCTCAGATGAAATCCCACAGAGATAGGGCACGTGGTATGTCCCTCGAGTGCCCGCACTGTGAGTGAGGGACACCAGTTCTTCTGTGTGCCCTCCTGGCTTCATTAAACGTTAAATCAGTGAAAGAAAGTAGGTGTTAAATGATACCCACATTGACTAGGTTGAACACTTCGGGCAAGTTCCTCAACCTCTCTGTTGGCATTTCTTCAACTGTCAGGTGATACGTGATGATAAAGTGATGTGTGGTAGAGCTCCACAGGCAGAGACAACACACACACGGTTTCCCCGATTTTCAGGGTTGGTTGGTTTGTTTGTTTGTTTGCTTTTATCTTGCTGCTCAAGGCACAATGTTGGGAGATGCTAGAAGGAAAAGGAAATAGAAGGAGGAAGGGGTCCTTGAGGCAAAGACTCTGGTCTTTAAGTTACCAGGGAGTCTGAAAATGCCCAGAGTGTGGCTTAGGTCCTGAGGATGAGCTGAAGGGGAGAGGACTGACAGGACACTGACAGTGAAGCACCAGTCCCTTCTGGTTCCCAGGAATATCTTCCCCACCATTGGAGTTCCCCTTCAAGGCCAGGCAGGATGGCACATGCCTGAAGTCCCAGTACCACAGAAGCTAAGCAAGGAGGCTTGTTGTAAGTTGGAGGCCACCCTGGGCTACATGGTAAATTCAAGGCCAGCCTGAAATTGAACAGCGCAACAAAACAATAGCTTCAACAATGATACAGAAACAAAACAAAAAACACAGAGCAGAAAACAAGAAAATTTTGATCAATTGCAAAGCTAGCTGATTTGTAACTTCATTTAATCCTTTTAAAGGCTCTGATCTGGAAAATTCCAGCTTCCGAAGGGAGTTTGGTCCAGATGGAGCAGAACAGCTTCTTCTGTCCCAGATGGAGCAGAGCCACTGGCTCTGGCTCTTTCTTCGGGGGCCCATGGAAGCCCATGTTTCCACTCAAAAGCAGGTTGAGGGTTCCTGGCTCTTCTCGTCCCACGTTACACTCCTTTCGGACCCCCTATACATTTCCCACAGGCTTCAATGCTACCCTTACCCAACATCCAACATTGTGCAAGTTCTGAGACCTGTTTAGATGTTGGATATTCAGTCCCAGCCAGGCCCTTGCTTCACACAGGTGAGCAGTCAGACAAACTGACTTGTGCACTCAGGGGGTGGTGGAGAGCTGCCTGGCCAGGCTCAGGGCCCTGGCTCCCACAGAGAAATGTGCTTCTGAGCTGGAAAGGAAACATAACAGAGTGGGTGCTCCTAGGAGGGTGACTCATCTAGAAGTAGCCATGGAAGTGTTCTCTTGGGGAACTCCAAATTCAAATAGGTGGGCGCTGGGAGCTTGGATGGTCCAGGCTTTACTTCTGCCCCTCCTCCAAAGCTTATTGCCATATAGGCAATTAGGGAACAGTACGGAATCTGATAGATCCCCAGGTGATAGCATTCATGATATGAGAAGAGGAACCAGGAGAACTCCCACGCAATATGTGGGTCTAGTCCTGTTCTCTGCATGGGCATGGTATGCAATGCTGGGTAATCACTGTCCTCTCAGCCTCAGGCAGCTGTAAATACAAGGCCCTGAGCAGGAAACTCTCTCTGACTCTGTGTGCCCGGACACACTCTATTCCTATGATTTGGCTATACAAGCAGCACAAAGCAGAGTGTTAGCACATCAGGGGTCAGGTGTCAGAGGAGAAGCTGAGAGCTTGGTCTCACCAAACTGACAGATGTAACGGTTTCGAGTTTTACAACGTTGGTCATTCCAGTTGAAGGCGGCAGATGCCTGCATTTCCACACAGTTCCCAAACCTGTGGAGCCAGGATAAAGAGTGCTTAAGTAGAGGAATGAAATTAGGAATCCAGCAGAGTCTTCAATCCTAACCCATTTAGGCCACCTGCATCTGTGAGACCCAGGTGTTTCACAAGCAGATGGGGCTGCTGGGAGCCAGTGCCTTTCTGCTCCCCATACACCACAGCTCTCCATAGGGAGACTGGGAACTCTCTACAGCTCCCCACCTAGCCCAGTCCAGCACTTAGCCACAGCAGGAATAGACAAGCCCACATCCTTCTGCCACCAAGAGCATATATGCCCAAAGTCCAGTCAGGCCTGACTGCAATAAGGATGTGCTGAGAGAGAGATTTGAAGCCCTTGGCGACCATAGACTCACCATCTCTGTCCTTGTTATGGCACTCCTGGGCTTTGAAGACCAGGGTGATGCCACATAGCCAGAATGTTCTCTGCATAGAACAGCTAGTGGAGGTATACATGAAGAATGCAGATGGGTGGATGCCGGAAATGATGTATTGATGTAGGCAGTAGGCAGGTAAGGGTATGGGTTACAGGCAGCAAGTGCAAAGGGTAATGATACACGGATGGAAACTTCTTGAGCCTCCTCTTCTATGTTAAATTGCCTTCTGTGCCTTCCTTACCTCAGCCCTGTATCTGCATCAGCTGGGGCCAGGTTTCCCTGGCACCTAAAACCAGGTAAGGGCCAAACCTTCATAGGCTGGGTGAAGGTTCTTCAGTGGCATCTGAAGCTCAACCAGATAGGCCCAAGTGGGAAGTGGGCCCAAGGGAGGGTAAGCATCCCAGACTCACCCCTGGTTGTCAGGCTGCCCAAAGGCAAAACTGGTGAAGGACTGGTGTTCTCCAGTAGTCCAGCGAAAGGAGTCCTTGGCTGTCTTGTAGGTGAGTCCTGGGCCAGGGTAGCCAAGGTTGCCCACCATCTGAGAGCTTACAAGCCTGCTACCAGATGTTAAACTCTCTTTCCTGAACCCTCCCCACACTCTGGTTCTTCCTTCCCTGCAGCCCTCTTCCCGTGGAAGGAAATCATCCTGACTACTGACCAATCCCAGGCTCCAAACCCTTGCTATCTGCTAGTGGGTGATGTGGGTTGCCACAATCCACCTGGAGCCTTGTGGAACTTCAAGTCCTCCCCTTTACCATATCCGTCAGCTGCCAAGCACTTACCAATCCAGAAATTCCTGGTCTCAAAGTCACTGTCAGTCACTTCGTTGGTGGTCTCCAGGCGGCCCAGGTAGAAGGCAAGGATGTCTTGCACTTTCTGGCTCTCGATCTGGGCTAGAACCCCACCTTTTCCCTGTAACCCCACTCTGGGTTATATGGGACACACTGTAGAGTTCAGGCCCAGAACTGTCTACCCATTCTGTTGTCCCACCATGGCCAGGATCCCAAATGTGTGTGCTGGTTGGGCTGTCTTTACCTCCTCCCCGGTAACCATCCTGCCTCTAAGAAGGAAATCCTTTTCCTCTCCCCTGCCAGACTCCCTCTTGTGTATGTGTATGCACATGGACCCAATTGGTAGTTCATAGGCCCAAGCATGGTCCTTCTCTTACAAGAGTTTTGTCTCAATAACATGGCATCTTGATTATATTTAGATCAATTGTCAATATGAGTAAGTCAAGAAATACTAAGGAAAACCTGGGTTTCTGGCTTCAGAAAACCCCATGTTCTGGTCCCCCTGACCTGGCATCCCAGCATGTACACCACCAGCTGGAGCTGAGTCAAGACAGCTCTTTCCACAGGAGTGGGGTAGAGCCTTGTTCCTGGGTGTTAAGTGGGCTCCTGGATTGTATGAGCCTTGAATATATGACTCCTGCTTTATACTAATGAAGAGAGTGAGGCCAGGAGAAGTTGAAGGAACCATCTCTTGGTCCAAAGCCACCCAATTACGACCCTGTTTAAGAACCTGGGAAGGCAAGGGTGGGCCCTCACCTGACATTTCATCTTGGCTCCATAATAGGTGTCTGCCTCGGAAGACACCATGAAGCAGTCTCCATCAATCCTCAGGTCACAGGCGTGGAAAGGAAAGTGTACCTTGGCTGGCAGGAGGAACAGGGAAGCCCTAGTTTGTATGCTGACTGCAGAATCCTTACCACCCTCTCTCACTAGGCTGAGCTAAGTTCAAGGTACCTCTACTTCCAGCTAACTACTCCAAACTGGAAGTCAGTAGTGAGTGTGCTGGTAAATTTGCAAGTATGAGAATCTCAAGAGAGAGAAAGAAGGGGCTAAAGAATCTAGGGCTGCCAAGATGGCTCAGTGGGTAAAACACTTGCTGCCCAGCCTGATGTTCTGGGTTCAATTCCCAGGACTCACATGGTAGAAGGAGAGAATTAACTTCCACAAATTGTCCTGACATCCACATCTGCTGTGTGGTACACACACACACACACACACACACACACACACACACACACACAGTCATTAAAAAAAAGTGAGCAATAGTGGCACAGACCTTTAGTCCCAGCATTCAGGAAACAGAGGCAGGTGGATCTTTGAGTGAGTCCAGCCTGGTTTACAGAGTGAGTTCCAGGACAGCCCAGGCTACACAGAGGAAACCCCACTCCCAATACAAAAATCTGTAGCTTGTGGCACTTGCCAATTCCATTGGTAATACCCCACTGTGGCCAATTTGATGATATTCCTGTTTCTCCTGAGCAAGGAGTGATAGCTTGGCACATGGACTCTTACAAGCTAGTAAAGTCAGATGTAGCCTCTCACTGAAGAGGGAGGGTTCTTAGAGCAACCTCGAGCTGGAACTCACTGGCACACTGGGCTCCACCATAGCCAACATCGCAGATGCAGGAGCATTCTTCTTCCCGGAACCGGCCATGCACACACTGCACACTGCACCGCACTGCCAAGACAGAACAGAAGGGCAGAGTGCTCAACCTCTAACCTCCTGAACCTCAGCAAGAAGACCCTAGCAGAGACACAGAGACACAGCCGGAGGGGGCTTATAGCTACTGTCATGTTTTGCTGCTTTGGTTTGGTTCTCATTGTAGAGAGAAGCAGATGAGGCTCAGAAGGTCATGGAGCACATACAGTGGGACAAGAATGACCACTTCTGTCTCCTAATTTTATCTTTGTTTCAATAGATAGTCTAAAGGGCCAAATCTTTTTTTTTTTTTTTAGGTCAGAGTGTTACTCTGTAGTCCTAGCTGACCTATATAGTTCACTCTATAGCCTAGGTTGGCCTGGAGCTCATGACAGTCCTGCTGCCTCAGTCTCCCAAGTACTAGTATTATATCCCTAAGCATTTTGTTTTGTTTCTTCGAGACAGGGTTTCTCTGTATTGCTTTGGAGCCTGTCCAGGAACTAGCTCTGTAGACCAGGCTGGCCTCAAACTCACAGAGAACCGCCTGCCTCTGCCTCCCGAGTGCTGGGACTAAAGGTGTGTGCCACCAACGCCCGGCCAGCCCTAAGCATTTGAAATTGTATATATAGCTTAGGATAGGGCACACAGTTGGGCCCTGTGAGTTTTTATTGAATGAACGCACCAAGTGCGTTAAATGCACTTGAGATGCCCTCAGAACACTCAGAATGTCCAGCCACCTCAGCCCTCCAGCTATCCCACAGTACTAGCTCCAGTACACACCACAGGACAGATGTGCGCCCACCAAGGTCCATCCCCCTCACACTTACCCCTCAGGGTGGCCTGAACAGGCCCTGAGTTCTCACCTTGGCAATACTTCCCTGTGTAGCCAGGGGCACAGTGACAGTGACAAGTGCTAATGTTGAGATGTCCATGATTTCGGCAGCTCACACGACATGGGTTTCTGGGGACCTCTGATGAGAAGAGTAGGTAATCCTGAAAAGGGGCCTCTCTTCAGCAGATCAGGCAGGGTCTTTCCTGGCTGCTGAGGCCAAGGTTTTCGGGACAGCCCCATCAAACTGCTCACTTCCCACCCATTCCAAGCCCTTGTGCCCCTGCTGTTCCAGATACGCACCACAGAGGCCCCCTGCATGATCCCAGGCTTTGAAGCAGCCTGAGACACTGGCTGTGCAGAGGGAACACCAGGAGCCTTTCTTATAGGGGGCGATTGTCTTCCCGTTTGCATCCCAGTTGCCTCTGTGAGAGCAAGCATCAGAGGGTCTGGAGAACCTGGCCTTGGGCAGGGAAGGAGCAGGAGCTTTGGACAGGGTTGAGGAGGGGGTCTTGTACGGGGAAGAAATGGGTCCTCGCTGCCTTCCCCAGGGGCTCCTTTAGCACCTGTAGCCCAGTCAAAGATTCAGGGGGCTGGATGTGGCAGGGAGACCAGCCAGAAAACAAAAGATGACTTCTGTGTCAATCCTGGACACATTGCCTCAGAGCAGAAAGGAGCATTCGTGGACAGGGCCTACTCTTCACGGCCAGGATCTTTTACATCTTCTTCCTTTCATCCACTTGTCTCTCGCGCAGACCAAGGGGTAAAGGCGTTTGGGTGGCTGTGTGCATAGCTCACCCTGAGAGGAAGTCATCCATCCCACTCTGCCTCTTCAGCCCCAGCCTCCCCGTCCTTTCTCCCCCACCCCGTCCCGGGTTATCACTCAGCCTGTGGTGAGGGGCTTACCCAGGGGAGTAGGCACAGACAAAGGCTTCCATGGCTGCCTGGTCCACAGAGCATAGGTGCCTCCCACAGCCCAGCTGACTGGAGGTGGCCCACACAAGCTGCAGAGAACACAACGGTGCAGAGACCCTTTCAGACTAGCCTTTCTTCAAACTGGGGGGTTGCAGCACAAGCAATGACCATGCACACAGATTTCTCCTTTAGGTCCCTGGGGCCCAAGCACCAGCAACTATGCTGAGCACAGCCATCAGAATTGAGGTGAGCTTTTGGATTGGAAGGGTTTTGAAGGTTGCTAAGTGTTCTGAGGAGGGGAGATTATGAGCAGATGGAAAGAGTGACAAAAGAAGGACTTTGATATCAAGGACCTTATGTAAGATTGGGAAAATACACACCTTCACTTCTCCCTAAAGCAGTGGCATATCAGATATTTACATTACATTTCATAACAATAGCAAAATTACAGTTATGAAGTAGCAATGAAATAATTTTATGGTTGGGGTCACCACAACATGAGGAACTGTGTTAGTGTGTCCAAGCATTAGGAAGGTTGAGAACTCACTAAGCAGTTTTGGTCAGGAAATTCATATGTAAACAGGTTGGTCTCAAACTCATAGAGTTTCACCTGTCTCTGCCCCCAGATGTTGGAATTAAAGGCCTGTTCCATTGTGCTCACTTTATAGACTGTTCTTTTCTGCTGGAGATTTAATCCAGGGCCTGGCACATACTAGGCAAGTGCCCTACATTGAGCTATATTCCCCCAGTCTACTAATTTGTACTTTTTTTCCCTAAAGAAAAATCTCATATCGTTTAGGTTGCCTCAAACTGTCTGTGTACTCAAAGATGACATTGAACTCCTGATCCTCCAGCTTCTACCTCCTGAATACTAGAATTACAAGCATGTACTGTGTCTTGTTTTAATGTAATATAAGTTTTAAGTTTGTAATTTTAGAGCTAGAGTTATACTTCAGTGGTAAAGTGTTTTCCCATCATATGCAGTGCCCTGGGTTGAATCACTAGTAACACATATTAAATTAAAGAGTGAAAAAAAAAGAGGAAAAAGAAAGGATAAAATATATTTTAAGGAAATAAATTAAGAAAATATAATTACGTACTTCAAAACAAGCAAACAACCCCATAACATCATTGAAAGTAAAATAAACAACAAAAACAGACTAAGTAACAATAAAAGCACTAATATAAAAATTTATGCCAGGAGATGGTGGCTGATGCCTTTAATCTCAGAACTTAGGAGGCAGAGGCAGGTAGATCTCTATGAGTTCGAGACCAGCCTGGTCTACAGAGCTAGTTACAGGACAGCCAGGGCTACATAAAGAAACCCTGTCTCAAAACAAACAAACAAAAAACCTTAAGGGAATGGGGCAGGAGGATGGCTCAGCAGTTAAGAGCACTGGCTGTTCTTTCAAAGGACCAGGGTTCAATTCCCAGCAACCACATGGCAGTTCATAACAGTCTATAACTCCAGTTCCAGAGAATCTGACATCCTCATACAGACACACATGCAGGCAAAAACCCAATGTACATTAAAAAATAAATATAAAAACAAAAAACTTAGGGGTGAAGCTGGCCATGAGGCACACACTCCTGTAGACACAGCGCTGGAAGCTAGAGACAAGAGGCTCAGCGGCTCACGTGCACCCTGGGCTACATAGTAAGACCCTGCTCAAAGGAAACAACAACAGAGTGGTGCAATTTCTACACATGAGAGGTTGAGACACGAGGATTGAAGTGAGTTTGAGGCCAGCCTGAGATACGCTGAGAGATCCTACTTAAACCAGAAAGGTAGAGAGGAAAGGAAAGAAATTTAAAAGTTCAAAAATCTTAAATTCACGTAACAGAAATATTTAAAAAGACTTATTATGGGACTGGGACTGGGGCTGTAGTTCAGTTGGGAGAATGCCTGCCTAGCATTGTAAAATCAGGTGTGGTGGCACTTGGAAGCAAAGGACCAGAGGTTCAGGTCACCCCTTAGAGTATCTATAAGAGTTAAGGACAGCCTGGAATACTTGAGATCCTGTCTCAAAAAACTAAAAAAAAAAATTAACCAAAATGACTTCATATTAATGAGATAAAAATCCACAACAGAAGACAAAGAGGAGCATGAATAGTAGTAGCTCACCCTTGTAATCCAGCACTTGGGAGAGAGAGGCAAGTAGGTCACCACAAATTCAAGTCCAGCCTGGTCTGCCTGAGAATACATACATAGCAAGGCACTGCCTCAAAACACAAAACAAGGGTCTGGAGATGGCTCGTCAGACAAAAGCAACTGTTGCTAATTCTGAGAACTGCAGTTCAATCCCCAACACGGTAGGAGAGATAACCTTTACAAGTTGTCCTTTGAGCTCCACATGTACTCTGAGGCATGTTCCTATGCGTGTAGTTGCGCATGCGCTTATGCACACACACAAGTAAACATACAAACAAATAAAACGTTTTAAAAAACAAACCACAAAACAGTGGGCCAGAAAGATAGCTCAGGAGATTAAAGCACCAACTGCACAAAACCCACAGTTTGGTCTCTGGATTCCACAAAAAAAGCCGGAGGTCCAACCCCCTAAAATTGTCCTCTGACCTCTGCATGCGTATACATACACAAACAAATCAAATATTAAATTGAAAGGATAAGAGACCATGCCCTAGACTCATCGTCAATGCACTCACCTGCGTGTAGTGGGTGCAGGTGGCATTGTGGGCACACTCAGCATCACCATGTCTGTACTGCAGCCCTTCAGCAAACCAGAGGTTGACCACTTCGATAAAGGATGCCGAGCCCGCGGGCAATTGCTGCACATTCCAGCCCACTTGTGTGGTGTGCTGTGGGGCAGATGCCAGGTTTGGGGTGGCTGAAGTGCTACAGAGGGCTGCTCTGGCTTGAGCTATTTGGGCCAGGCTCTCACTCCAGTCCTGGGAATGACACAAACAGACATCCTCAGGTGGCATATTCAGTTTTTCCACTTCCAGTTGCTGTGTGACAAAAGCAACTTGGTGGGGGGAGAGACATAGTTTATTTGGCTCAAATTCCAACCCATTACTACAGAGAGAGAAGGCAAGAACTTGAAGCTGTTGGTCACAGCCAGTCAAGAGCAGAGAGAGAATGAGGCATGCATGCTGTGCTCACTGCCACCTTCTCCCTGATCCTATGCTCCACAAATCAAATCCAGGAAATGGTGCCACCCACGTTTTCATTTTTCTTGGTATTTTAGCTTGTTCTGGAATTTACTCTGCAGACCAGGCTGGCCTTGAACTCACAGAGATCAGCCTGCCTCTGCCTCCGGAGTGCTGGGGTTAAAGGTGTGTACCATCACTGCCTAGATTCTTGATGTTTTTTTAGACAGTGTCTGTCTGTATAGCTCTGGTTGACCTAAAACTCATAGAGATCAGCCTGCCTCCCAAGCGCTGGGATGAAAGGTGTGTGCTAATGTGTTCAGTTAGTACCACACACTTTTAAACTAGATCTTCCTATGTCAGTTAAGACTGTCCACCACAGATGCACCCCCAGTCCAACCTAATCTAGATAATTACTCAGTGAAATTCCTTCCCAGGTGATTCTATTCAAGTTGACACAATCAAAACTAATGCTACAACTGGCCTTTGGATAAGAGGGAAGCTAAGCGGCAATGAACCATCTCCCACTGGCTCTGAGCGTCTGTGGGGTTCCAGGTCACACTGAGCAAAGGGCCGTTTTCCTCACTGAACAGAGCCACAGAGGGTTCAGCTGCCCCAGGTATGTCAGGAAAGGAAATTGTGCTTCCATCTTTCTGAGTCTTGCGACAACACCCTTGGGCCCTGCGTAGGGAACATCACCAGCACAGGATTACTTCTGCTGTCCTGGTCCCCATCTAGTAATCTGAGCCCAGACAGTACCTGACTTGCAGGATGTCTAGCTTTGTGTTTTCTTTAAGAGATGTCCCTGGCTACAGTCAGAACTCTGCTGCTCCCATCTGGCCAAATGTGATTTTTCCAGGCCTTTGACCAAAGGGCCCTGAGAAAGGAACAAAGTACCAGCCAGCTAATTATAACCCTGCAGGGCCCTGGGGTGGAAGGACTCACTGCTAGATATTCCCACTGGGAAGACCTGGCTGCTCAGGACAGTAGGCATGAGGAGGAGACAGAGCCATGCAGAGGAGGGCATGGAAGAGAAGCAGACCTCTCCCTCATGGCCCTCCCCCACCTCCTGGGAAACTGACCCCTGAGATCTCAAGGTCGCCACCCACTGAGGCGGTCAGCCTCAGAGGACTTTATGGGAGGCAGTCATGGGGAACCTTGCCCTCTCTTACCCATTCCTCCCATGTTCCCTGGCCTGTTTACATGGGCTGGGCCTACTGGGGTCCCAGACTATGAAGGCAGTATGTCTGAGACCCCAGGATGATCAGCTCCAACCCTGGCAGCCTCAATCATGGAGCTCCTAAATTGCAGATAAGTGGATGAGAGAACAACTTGGGAGAGGCACCTAATACTTGCTAGACAAATCCTGGTCACATACCAGTCCCCCACAGCCCAGTGGGGGATGTTTCTCCCTCTCTGTTCTTCATCTCTCTGTCTGCTGGACTCCTTTGTGTAGCTCCTTTTCCCTGGAGTAGGGAAGCCTGGCTCCTCCATATCTGCTGATCTCCGTGGCAACAGGATGCCAGCAAAGGCAGGTTTGTCCTTTATTGGGTGTGAGTTGCTGAGGGCCCTGACCTCTATACTAAGGGCTTTCCCCGAAGGAAGAAGCTACATAGCTCTCCAGCAACCAAGACCATGGTGCCCCCAGTGAAAGGGGGTCTGACACTGGCAAAACCCCCTGAGCTCACTTTGGGGCTCAGTCCCTCTGGCAGCCCTCTTGACACAGAGCAGTTGGGCATACTCACCATTCTCTGCATGTTGGCTGCAGGAGGCTGGACCTGGCTGCGCAGACGGTTGTGCAGGGAGAGGATTAAGAAGCTCTCCTTCTTGCTCAGGGCTAGAGGCCAGGAAAGAAGGTTAGACTGACAACCAGCAGCACCTGGGGCATCTCCGCAGCCAGGCAAGAGTGCAACCCCACCCAGGCACACAGATCTGAGATGAGCAGGGACGATGGTAGATGTATAGGGGAGAACTCCCAGTTCAGAGATGGAGGGAGGGCCAGGAGAGAGACAGGAAAGTGTGCGAGGACAGACCAAGTATAGAGCAATGCTGTGAGTGACTGGCTTGTATGCAGGGAATGGTGTGGGAAATAAGAGACCCAGCCCTGGACTAGAAGCAGTCCTAGCTTTGGCTCCTTTCTACCATCGTTGTTTCTTGTCAGGTCTTAGCTACAGGCTCTCACCAGTATCCTCCCCTAACTCCAACCATGGCCCTGTCTGCTTCATCCTTCTTCCTCCCCAGTATCCTTCCACCATGCCCCTCTGGAGTGTCATAATGGGGCCCCCATCATATTGCATGAGTCCTGGGTACCTGATTCCTAGATACACCTTTACATCTCTTCTTCAGGCTCACAACAGCGTCTCTACTTCCCTTTTGGCCAGGTATCCCTTACCTTGGAGAGCTGGAGCCTGCTCTGCCATTTGAGGTGTCTGCACCTCTGTCCAGGTGATGCCAAGGAGAGATAGGAGCACAAGCAGGAGACCAAGCCATCGGCTCTGGCCTCCCAACCCCAGGGAAGGCTCTGGATGAATCTTTGGCCTGCCTAGTGCTGTAGACATGGCTTCTCTCAGCAGTCCAACTAGCCTCCCAGGCTTCCTGAAGCTATTCACAGTCTCAAAGAGTCAGGCTAAGCTTCCAGACAAAAGGAAGAGGCTAGTGAGTCATCATTGTGCCCAAACAGTCGCCTCTCAGTGGTGCAGGGGCTTCAAAAGAGACATAGAGCCCTTCTAAACGCTGCCTTACTCCAGCTTCAGTGTCTGACCAATCTGCTCCACAACAGCAAGCAGAGCAGTGTGCACTGACCCTGTGGCCCCTGCTAATCATTGTAGGATTATTAGCACCCTCAGGGAGTCCCCAAAGACCCTGCTGATTGGCCTACAGACATTCCAGGACTGTGGATTAGCGACTGATGGCTGTGCCCTGGCAGGGACAATGTCCTCCAAGCCCATGGGCAGCGTCTATTCTCCAGCCCCACTCCTAGGGAGGAGCCTGGGACTTTGGCAGGGAGCCCATAAAGCAGGCAGGAACTGGGCAAGACCCCAGGGGAGTTCTTTCCTTTCTTGGGAAGCTCATCCCAAACCTCTGGCCATGAATTAAACATAGGCAGGAAGTAACTATTTATCAGACAGGTGCCAGGGGTGGGATGTTAGAGGAGTGAGCTGAGGCTGCACCTTCAGGAAGAAAGGTGTGCCTTACACCTGCTCCCTGCTACTTCAGGGCAGTGAGAGAGGATGAGGCCAGCTCCAGGGCCCACCATGCTTACCCATGTGACTTTGAACCGAGACAGGACAAGGCAGACAAAGAAGAGGGCATGTGATGGATACCCTTGGCTGACTTGAGCCCTGCTGGGAACAAGCATGCCTCTAGACAAACGTGCCACAGTGGAGCAGGAAGACAGCAAATTGCCACCGGGTTTAAGGCCTAGCTGAAGCCCACACAATCCCTCCAGAATCACTGAAGATCTACCACAGTCAAATCAAACGCTGCCATGCAGACCATAACCAAATGCCCACCAAGGTTACTCATCCATTCTAAAGCACAGCCTTGCAAGCCATATTTTGTTTTTCTGGTTGGTATAGTCCCTGGCCCTGGAGTCAGCACTGTCTCAGATGTCACACCTTTGGAAATTCTGCTGGGGTACAAGTGGGATGCATGGGTTTCTGGAGAAACACTAATGGAGTGTGGATGTCAGATAATGGGGACAAGCCTAGGCAGCAAGGTGTGCATCTTTGTACAGTACCCAGGGCCTCAAGAGATGCTTCTGCCTCAAACATTATATGATTAATAATAGCTGCATTTTTATTTGTAAAAAATTATTACTGTTATGTGTGTGAGTATGGATGTCTAGGTGCTACAACATATGTGTGGAGGTCAGGGGACAACCTTTGAGAGAGTGTTTTCTCCTTCTACTGTTGTTCTCAGAAGCCAAACTCAGGATTATTAGGACCATTTCCCACTGAACTAACTTGCCAGACCCATAGCCCCACCCTTTTAATAGAGCTTACAAAGCGTGTTTATAATGTCACTTATTCCTGTCATGACAACCTTGCTCTGATGCTATTTGGCAGATGGGGAAGATGGACACAGTGAATCTCAGGGCCTTGCTGAAGGTACATATGTCCCAGCTGATTCAGAGTCTCTATATTTACATTCCCAGGGTTTTAATTTATTTACATAGTGGATCTTTCAGAGTTCAATTTTCAATAGCTTTGCTCTATACTGCTGGTAAATGACCTGGCCCTAGGCTCCAGGATAAATATGGCTCATTGTTATTGGACTTTGGGTTAGATAGGAGGAAAATATTTACTGGTGGAGCAACTTTTAAAAAGTTTCCCTTTATTTTATGTTTATGGATGTTCTACCTGTGTGTATGCATCATGTGTAGAGTCAGTAGAGGGTGTCAGATCCCCTGGGACTGGAGCTACAGATGGTTGTGAGCTGCCTGTGGGTGGTCAGACTTGAACCCAGGCTCTCCTGAAGAGCAGTCAATGCTCTAAACAGCTAAGAGATCGCTCCCTACTATGGTGAGCATGAAGTTGCCAGGCTTTCTGTTGGAGGCAGAAACTTCTGAGGCCCTGGGTTGCTGCACACCCCACTGCCTGACATCCATGTTGACAACCATATTCCATCAGTGTTTTTCTTTATTTTTTCTTTTTATTATTTTTGCTGTAGTGCATTGATTCTCTGTTCATATGTATGTCTGTGAGAGGGTGTTGGATCTCCTGGAGCTGGAGTTCACAGACAGTGGTGAGCTGCCATGTGGGTGTTGGGAATTGAACTGGGGTCCTCTGGAAGAGCAGCCTGTTTTCTTAACCACTGCACCATCCTCCAGCCCCTCCATCAGTGTTTTTTCAGGACTTTTTGTAGCATAGAGTGGTTTGAATTTGTGATCCATGCCTGGAATCACAAGGTAGTTTGTCACAGCTGTAAAGTCTAACTAATGCAAGTAGAAAGATGTTCCAACTTATTCTACTAAGTTCAGTATTAACACCAAAGCCAGGTGTAGACATCACAGGGAAACTACAAATTAATATTCCTTATGAATACAGACACAAAAACTCTTTCAACAGAATATATAATCTGATTTGGCAACACGTAAAGTAGATCTAACACCACAACTAAGTAGTATTTAATATAGCAAGAATGCAAGGTTAGTTTATTATTTGAAACTCTAGGTTAATAAGTGTCTTAGTTATGGTTCTGTTGCTGCAAAGAGACACCATGATCATGGCCACTCTTTTATTTATTTATTTTTTCAAGGCAACTCTTATAAAGGAAAACATTTAATTGGGGTGGCTGGCTTACAGTTTCAGAGGGTCAGTCCATTATCATCATGGCAGGGAGCACTGAAGCACGCAGGCAGATGTGGTGGTGGAGTAGCTGAGAGTCCTCTATCTTTCAGGCAACAGGAAGTCAACTGAAACACGGGGAAACCTCACAGCCGCCCCTACAGTGACTTCTTTCAACACAGCGACCTACTCCAACAAAGCCATACCTCCTAATAGTGCCATTCCCTATGAGATTATGGGGGCCAGTTACATTCACACTACCACAATAAGTAAATGACAAAACCCACATGGTTGTCTCAAAGACAGAAAAAGTATTTGAGCTGGGTATAAAGTGCTTTCCTAGCATGAGCAGGATCCTAGGTTCAGTCCCCAGTCCAGCCGGGGTAGGGGGCAGAAAAAGCATTGATAAAAACTGAAATCAGTCAGTGTAGTGGTACAAACCTCTTGTCCCAGGTATTCTGAAGGCTGAAGCTGAAGGATCATTTGAGCCTAGGACGTTAGGTCCAGCCTGGGCAATGTAGCAAGACCCTATATCAAACAAACAGAAAATTCAACACAAAGCTTCATAAAAATTCTCTGCTGAATGGGGTAGCACACAACTTTAGTCCCAGTACCCAGGAGGCAGAGGCAGGCAAATCTCTGTAAGTTTGAGGCCAGCCTGGTCTACAATGTGAGTGTCAGGACAGCCAAGGCTATGTAGAGAGACCCTGTCTGAAAGAACAGAAACAGAAACAAAAAATTTCAACAAATTTAGGAATAGACATGAAATTCCTTAGGTAGATATGGTGGCTCATGTTTCTAATCCCATCATTCTGGAATGCTAAAGTAGGAACATTAACATAAATTTGAAGCCAGCCTGCAGTATATAATGAGAACTTGCCTAAAAGTGAAATAAATAAAAGGATAAATGAAATCCCTGAGTCTGATAAAGATTCCTACTCAGGACTGAGTCATATCATCCCCAGTAGGCTGGATTTCTAACTCTAGTATTTCAGAACATGACTTATTTAGGATCTTTACAGGGGTAATTAAGGTTAAGTACGCCTTTTTTATGTGCTCTAATCCAGTTTGACTGATGTCCTTTGACAAAAGGATTATAACACAGGCATGGAAAGAGAAGATGTTACTTGCAAGCTGAGGAGTGACACCCTCAGGAGAAACCAACCATGTCTGTACTTCAGTTTTGGCCTTTAAATGTTCATAACCAGGACAAAATACATTCCTGTCAATCACCCTGCATTGCCTGGTCAAGGCGGGGTCAATCCCCCAAGTTGCCCCTTTATAGAAAAATCTCAGGCCTGAGCTGCTCTGTATGACAGCTGAAGACCTACAACCACTGCCCCCAACAAAACTGTGGAGACCATTTCAAATGGTACATAGGCCAATTTACATTACATTTCTAGGCATGGTGTATCCTTTTTTGGATCTCTAAGGATATTGACTGACTATAGCTTTAAATATACAAACACAAGGCGTTTTCTTTATAACTAAAAATCAGGCTGCTGGCCTCACTTCTTAAAGCTAATGCCAGGTCTAGAAACTATTTGCCTTGCTACCAGCTTCCAAATAAGAAATAAACTTACCAAACAGGTTTCAAAATAACTTTTTACTATTCCATTGTTTAAAGGAACTTGTTTTACAATGACTACTTCTGTAATCAACCACTTGTGCCTCCTGATAAGTAACTGAACAAAAAAAAAATGTAAAGTTTAAAGCTTAAGGTATAAGGATTGAAAAACATAAGGTCTGAGGACATAAAAGATTAAGCAATGATTTAAAAATGATTTAAGATTTATAAAAATAGAGCTGGGCATTGGTGGTGCATGCCTTCAGTCCCAGCACTCGGGAGGCAGAGGCAGGTGGATCTCTGTGAGTTTGAGTCCAGCCGGGTCTATAGGAGCTAGTTCCAGGATAGGTTCCAAAGCAATACAAAGAAACCCTGTCTTTAAAAAACAAAGAAAAAAATTTATAAAAATAAAAAATGTTTCAAATCTCTTCCCCTCTCTACACTATTATTATATTGAAACTTCAAAAGTTCAGAGTTTTGACATTAATCAATAGAGCTCTGTTGAGCTATTAATCTAGCTCTAGTAAACACTGACTTACTATTATCCTTGTTAATATTATTATTATCATTATTATCATTATCGTTATCATCATAGTCCAATTTTCTAGGTAAAGAAAAGAACGTTAGTGCTTTTAACCAAAATCATTTTTAGGTTTCCAAACTTTTACTATGACTCAAAGGCATGAGCCAGCTGTCTTTTCCATAATATGGATCTCAGTACAGATTACAAACAATAATAGTGCTAACATACCTGGAACTTTTGCCTCTTAAAAAAGACTCTTATAAGCTTCAGGAAATCAACTTGGAGGATTATTCTACTTCTGTTCCTTCTTCCAGTCATCTTCAGACATTTAGGATCCACAGTAAACTCTACCCAAAGGGAGAGTCACACATCATTTAATAAACAAAAAGGGAGGAGATGCCAGTGGCCCTGTCAGATGAGCCTGCCAGGAAGTGAATCCCTGATGGATGAATCTTGGATAGGCAGGGCCCTGAGATCACAGACTCCAGACTGTCTTTTGCTTCTGTGAGCCTTCTCATGTTTGCCATCTTTGTCTGGTACCTGGCATGGTGTGAATGGGTGTGGGGA